ATATTTTTAATAGCTCATCATATCAACTTTCAGATACCAAAAAAGTAAGTCAAAGATCATAAAGGAGAGAAAAGGCTCCAACATATTGTTTTGTACAGTATTCTGAATCTGAGTATTCACCGTGCAATATCATTTCCAAGATACATCACAGTGTTATCTTCTTTTGCAGAAATTGTTCTTATGAAACTGTACGCTATTGGTATTAACAAGTACACAGCTGAAATTAATTGACAGTTGAGGTAAACCTATATGGAAGAGAAAACAACGGGGTGAAAGCGGAATGACTTTAAACAGCTGAGGTCGCAGTGTCGTCTGCATTATTCAAGGGAGATGCTTCCTGTTCCCTGGAAAGAATCTTGTCGGGCGATGTTCGGTCTCTACTGTAAAGCGCTCGAAGTTCCTCAATGTTGTCCGGCAGCGGCTGGTTGCTGGTCTCGGGCAGCAGCAGTGATAGGAGTCCTCCGATGGCGGCGCTACTGCCGAAGAACACCGATGGCGCCCACCAATATGTCTGGCCCTTGAAGGAACGGATGATAAAAGTTAACGAAATTTTATTTACATATTTTGTGTGCAGCGACCCCGAAAAGAAAGAGTGGTCTATCCTTACCATGATCTGAATGATGAAAGGCGAAAGAATAGAGCTGAGACGCGCCATGGTCGAGGAGAGGTTCAGCCCTCTTGATCTAACACACGTAGGGAATACTTCCGAACACACTAGGTAGAGGACGTTGTAGTTTCCAGTGATAAAGAACTTTCCCACCAGTGCAAGGGAAAAGATGACCCAAGTCCAGCCTAGAAAAATAGACAGAAGCCGTTAATAAGATATCTATACTGCATGCCGAAATTTCACAGAGCTTTATGAAATAGGAAAGCACTATTGTAAATTTCCCATGCATAACAGTAGAATTCCACAGTCCATAGTAACAAAAGTAAGTGGAGAAAATGTTAGGCAGCTGAAATAGTTTCTGCTAATGGAGATCTAAACTGAATGAACGAATGGCGGTCAAAAGGAAGTGTCTTTGCGTTCTCCTCAAATCACGGCGTTTGCCAAAAAAATAATTAAAAAAAAACAAGAATGAGCGACAGGTCTCACTGCCGGGAACAATAAGGATGGCGAGAATGGCTGCAGCACACACAGCAAAGTTTGCGGCGAGGACGCGGCGTCGACCGAACAGCATAACGATGGGGGCAAAGACAGTGTACGCGGGGACTTCCAACGCGCTGCTGAACAGCATGTACAGGAACGGGTCCTGGCTGAGAAAGAACAAAAAAAAATCAGCAAAACTCGAGTGTATATGTAGATTCTGAAGTATTATTTCTTGGTCAATTTGGTTATGCTTTGATTAATCATTATAATTTTTTTCTGTGTGAATGACGGTGTGTGCACACAGGCAGCTATGAGCGTTTGTGCTATTATGAAACTGATTGCATTTAATTATTTCATCTGAGACCTGAAGGTGTTTCCAGCGAGGCTGATGCCCCAGTAGGTGAAGCCGGTGAAGAAGAAGTTGCCGAACATGACCAGCGTAATCCTTCTGAGGGCGGGGCTTGAGACCAGCACGGCCACGTCATTCATCCACTTCCGAACTGGCCCGCACTTGCCACTCTTCTCGAGTCTCCTTGCCTTCTGTTTCAACAATATACATACATATATATTTATGTGTGTGTGTGTGTGCATATATATATATATATATAATATATATATATATATATATATATATATATATATATATATATATATATATATATGATATATAATTATATTTATATATCTATATTTACATACATGTATATATATATATATATATATATATATATATATATATATATATATATATATATATATATATATATAGATGGATTCCATGCATGTACAAACTCCACAGTTAAGATTTATTTCCCTAGAAATGACAAACCAGAATTAGTATGCATGAGGTGTCTCTCCGCGACTTGCCATTTCTTTTATCAATATTGATTTACTAATCCTGTTATCTATTCTTATAAGCAATACCAAATTTGATAACGTTATCAATTTCAGTGCTGCTCATCATTTAATACATGTTTAAGAATAAACAGAAATACTGAGATAAGTTTGGAAACCATTGTCCTAGAGCAGTGGTTCTCAAACATTTTGGTGTCGTTACCCACGGCAGTGATGTGACAGATCGCCGCCATTACTCTGCTTCATTCCTCTTCAAGTTGTGTGAAAAATGTCGGTATGCTTGATTTTTAATGCATACGATGTGATACAAATTAACTCAAGTAATGAAGACTTTAGACTATTCCACTGACGAAAATATGAATTTAAAGTATTGTTCCTTTTATTGCATATTGGAATAAAATCATTATTTCGTTTGTAATAAAGAGAAACGACATTATTGCTGAATTATGAGTGGGAGACCCGGCATTGTCAGTGCGAGGGCCTATAGAGGGCAGAGCACGTTTTACACCAGCATCTGCGTCTCCATGCCAGTTAAAGAAGCCCGCAGCTGTAAGTTAT